TCACTCCTTGGAAGATGGTCTTAGAAGTCACATTTATGGTGTCCTTAAGATTTAATGGACCAGGTGCTACCCAGGAGTAGTCCAATATCACCAATATGTTGGTGTAACTCTTAGGCAGGTGGCAGGATCTTAGCTGAGTAGCATAGCACAAGGTCCCACTGTCTCTCTTTGACCAGTCCTACCCCAGAAACACTTCATCCGGCTCCTTTTTCTCTTTAGCTCCTGACCTCTTTCACCGCTCATGTTTCTGCACTTGTAATTCATCCATCCTTACGCTTTGACCTCTTGTTGTTGAGCAGCCTTTGTTTTCAAACCACAGATAGAGTCTATATCTAATTAGATCTATGCCTTCAGTGATCTTCTGGTATCCAAGTGAGGCTTGGTTTCCAGTGTAGGCCACTGGGTTCAGAAGGGTCCTGTCCTTGGCCTACTGTTCTGCTGTTGCCTTCTCAAAATTATTAACAATTTTATCTTTGAACTTATGTGCTTTCTAAGTGAAGTCTGATGGGACAATGGAGCATCAGCAGAGGAGATAAGATAAAACACCATCTTGGTGGATTCATTAGCATACAGCATTTATGATGCTCTTTGAGCACAGAATTCAAGTAGACCCTCAGTGGGTGAGAGTTTACTAAGAAGCTATTTGAGTACCATGTGAAGATGCTGTGCCTCTAAGTAAATGGACAGTGGTAGTTAGAGAGGCCATGCTTTTCATTTGAATCAAAAAGAAAGCAATTACATTTTAAGAAACTCAAATGGCTTAAAGAACCCTCTCTTGTCCTCTCTTAGGCTAGTTCTCTGGACAACCAACAACTTAGGGTGAAAATGATGACAGAAGGCAAGAACAGGATAACCTTTACCTTTTCCTCCCTTTGCTCATCACAAGGCCTGGTAGAAAGAACACATATAAAGTGCGGCTAGAAAGAAGTGAAATCAAAACAGCTGAGTCCTAGGAGGAAAAAGCTATTTACATATGTATGAACTATATAATGTAAATTCCATCATTTTAATCATTCCACATACAAGTTAAATGTTCTTATATTTTCATCTGAAGCTGGCAGTGTGCAATATAAAGATGAATCACAAAAACCATGCTGAAATTGAAAAATTTTAATCATCTTTACTTGCAATGATTTGAAACAGAAAAAAAAATTATCTCTTAGGACCTTAAATGACACAATTTTCCTTAAAGTTTGAGTAAGGAGTAATAAGTAACATTTTCATTTCACATTAGGCCCTGCAAATCACATAGCTAACCCTGATCCTATGGCTTTACACACACACCTGTCAGCACTGATAAGGCTGGTCTCAGAGGGCACAGCCCAGGGCTCTTCCCAATGTGACTTTTCCCAACTTGATCATGCCCCTGTACTTTGTTTTTATAACAAAAAATCCCAATTTGCTCTAAATTAAAAAAAAAAAAAAAAGAAAAACAGGTTAATGTAGCAGTAGAATCTTATCCAAGGTCGTGAGGTATATCATGGAGGCAATGCCCTCAGATCCAATGCCCTGGGTCTGCTGGCATCCATCCCCATGGCTGGTGTTGGAGCCTCAAATATCATTGGAAAATACAAAGTCATTGAGTGTTGCATCCTTTGATCTCATCCCAGCTGGGGCCACCACCAACCCATAGGAACAGATGTAGAGTGCAAGGCTGTGTCCTTCAGTGGATTCTGCACAGAACATTCCAAGGCCCCAGCGGAGTCCTAATGTCTCATTCAAGGTCAACAAGAGTCAATCAACAGGCCAATATATTCCTCCTCTTGTAGCCTTGGTAGGCATCAGACTTCTGTATCTGTCCAGGAAGGTCCCGATACCATTTCTAATAACCTCAACAGAGCTGCTTGAAATTCTGTAGAAAAATTTCTTTCCTTGAGTTTCTTGGAAAACAAGCTATGTAAAATCATGTCCAGGCACCTTGCACAAATGGCCAGACTTCTCCCAAACAAAAGTATACCCGAGTCAGAATATCCTACAGCCTGGAGCATCTTGCAAACTGCCTGTCTGCCTTTCACATGGTTTCCTCAAGCCATCCAAAGGGAGTTTCACACTCACGTCTCCTAGCACATTCTAAGGGCTTCCTCACTGTTCTTTAGGAAGCTTCTGCTGAGCCTGGGTTTTCTGCAGAAGCCACACAACAGCCTCTTTGGAACACAGATACCCTGCTCTCCAGGGAACTTCTTGGCTAGTCCGTGTTCTCTCTAAGCCCCAAGGCTTCTCCTTAGGCACATCTCCAGGTAGGAGGCCAGATTCTTGAGAAATTATCTCCCAGTCCTGCCCATTAGCCTGCTCACCTAGCTCTGTGTCAGCTACCTTTGTGCCAAAATGAACTCCAACTGCTGGCCTCCTTCCCACGAACAGTCAGGAGCAAAGGGGACTTCTTGGGCCCTGCTGCAGTGTTCTGGAGCTAACAACAGTGAACACATAATTCCTTCCTTCCTATATAAGATGAATGGTAAACACATTTTAAACATTTTACGTTGCCATTTAAAATAATTCTCACAAAAATATTTTAAGAAAATGCAGAAATACTTCTGCAATCACGGGAAGTGGATTTAACAGCAAGATGCACAATTGTGTAGAGAGAGAGGAACCCTAGTTTGTGAACAGTTTGCATTACTCACAGGAAAAAAAATGCAGAAAGAAAATACACCATAATGGATTTTTTTTTAGGCAGTGGGTTATGGGTAATTTTACATGTTCCTTTCTAATTTTTCTAGCACGTTTTCTTAAAAACAAAACAAAATGGTCCAGATAACTGTTGTTTTTAAAGTCCATCAAGAAAGGTTTTTTTTTTTTTTTTCTTCCGAGTTATCAGAAACCAACTTTTTCCACTGCCCAAGGAAACCAGCATCAGCTTTCTGTATCGCCCCCAAAGCGATTGCCAGGAACTCTGCCCCTCTCCTGCTGACTCTTCTATTTGCAACACAGGATACAGATTTTTTAGGTCTGCTAAGTTTGCTCAGCTTGTAATCGTGTTTTTCTTTCTTACATGAATCATGGCAATATTTGGAAGCATGTAGCCTATCAGAGCCTTGACTCAACATTTCTTTCTCTGGTTACTAGGGCTGAGAGCTCCCAAAGGCATTTTTAACCCAAGACTGGGCTCAGGGGAAAGAGAACTGGAGGATGCCGACTTTGTACACCAAGATTGGATGACTTGCCCTTGGAGGAAGGCTGGCTTTTCTCTGCAAGGCAGATGATCATATTCCTTTTACATACATTGTATAGATCCAAAAGACAATGTATCTAGCCTGCCTAACTGCACACACAATAAAGCACTCAAAGACGTGGGTGCACGGGTGGAAAAGCCACTGCTCCAACTTTGCATTCTCTTAGTCCTGAAGTTTTCTCAAGTGTACGCGGGGAAGGCATGGAAGTGGAGGAGCTGTGCAGACCTCAGCCCCGCCCTGACTGGCCAGCCCAAGGACACATCTTTGGTTTCACCATGGAAATGTAACCACTGCTTGGGTGGAGGGCAGGCAGCGCTAGCCACTGGCTGGCAGCCAAACACAGGGTGAGGGATAGCCCTAGAATGCTCATGGCTGGTACTGAATGTAAGACAGAGATCACCACGGTAGCACTCCAGCACGCCTCTCCCCCCACCCCCAGGCCTGCTGTGCCCTTTAACTGTTCACTGGGCTGCCGCCAGGATGCCAGACTTACGGGAAACACAGGGAATCGAGCCATATCTGTAATGGATTGAAAAACTGTCACTGCTGTACTGCTTTATTTGCTGCCATTATCGCTAGTGCTGCCATCAGCACCACTATTTCTACAATTGACAAGGTGCCTCCCTTTGCTTGGGTTTCACCTGAGCACACAGGACGGACTGATACTGGGCATGGCCTTACGGAAGAGCAGAGGTAGCTTGGCACTGGAAACCCCGAAGGGAAGAACAGGATAGAATGATTAGAATTTATTCACATCCTGCAAGGGCCTAGGGACCAGATACCTTCAGTTCCACCCTCCATCCTACCCTGCTTTAACAGTCCCTGGCAAGTTCAGGCTACTTCAAGGGTTAAGCACCAGTAGAATGGCTTTTATTTGTCCAAGAAGCTCACCTATGCCAAAACCCCACCCGGTGGGTGAGAGGAGAGGATGCTTTAAACACAAGGAGATTGTCTCCGCCTATTTTTTTTTCTTTTCTTTTTAAAAAAGATTAAATTTTCCGGTGTCCAAGTTAAATAAAAAATGTGGGCCTGACATGGGCATTCATTCCCAAAGCGAACTATGGAAGGCACACCTCCGTAGCCTAACAGCAGGGTGCCCTGCTCGCTTAAGCCCTCGCCTCTGCCCTAGGGCCAGGGGCAACCCAGGACAGGCAGAAGGCCAGGAACAAGGAAAAGCTCAAGCTCTCCACCCCTGGGGGCAGCCAGCTGCCCCCTGAACCCGCGGGCTTCACCTGGCAACCGGGAGCCTCGGCAGAGCTGCGAGAGAAGTGGCATTTTGGAATCCATTTTGCTCAAGATGCTGAAGTCATTGTGGCAAACTCCCCTTTGCTACTGGGATTCAAGAATCCACAAGGATGTGGGTCGTTGGGGGCCAGCTGGGGACCAACCAAGGTATTACTGTCACTTAAAGCAGGCAGGTGCACTGGCTATCCTGAGGACTTGCCCGCAGGCCAGCGATGGGCTAGGACTGGGTACTGGGGCCCAACCTCCACTCTGTTTCTGCGTGTCGGGGCAGGTTCCCTGGCAGCGGGACCAGCAGCTGTTGTGGCCAGACCAGCTGGGTCCCTTCTCTGTCCAGTCATTTATAAACGAGATTTACCTGCATGCAGAGGAAAAGGGGCGCGAGGTGACTACGGCCTTCGAAAGGCATAATCACGAAAATCACACTCCCTCGCATCACCCCCAAAGCGCTCCCCTTACCGGCTACCCTTCCCCCGAGCGGCGCGGTCTCAGCCCGGCGGGGCGCGCCGCAGCGGATCCCGGCACTAGGCAGGCGGGACGCAGGCGGGGAAGGCGGGCGGCGCGGTGCGACGCGACGAGGCTCACCTGCTAGGCTGTTGTAGCAGTCGACCTCGATGGCCTCCACCGTCTTGCTCTGCTCCTCTGACAGGCGACAGGGCTTGGGGGTCCCAGCCGGGGATGCCGTGCGCGAGTCCCGCTCTCGTTCCCCGGGGGTCGGCAGCAGCCCTTTCAGCTCCAGCAACGCCCGGTGGTATTTGCCGATGGCTTCGCGGAATTTCTTGTCCTTGTAGCACTGCGCCCCTTGGCTCTTGAACTCGTGCGCGCGCCGGATGAGCTCGGCCGGCTCGGCCGCCGCCCCAGCCTGGCCCCGCGCTGGGGCCCCTCCGCCGCAGCCCCCCGGGGCGCACAGCGGAGGCGGGGGCCGCTGCCCGTCTCCGGCCACGGGCGGACTCGGGTTCCCCTTAGCCCCGGCCGCCGAGCCCTTCCTCTCCATTCGGCCGCCACCCGAGCGCTCGGCGCGCACCGCGATCCACCCGCCGCTGCCGCCGCGCCCTCCTGGCTTTAAAAGCGGCGGGCGCGGACTCCGCGACTCCCAGGCTCGGCCGCAGCCGTGACACCCCGCGGCAGCCGGTGGCCCCGCACTCCCATTCTCCTCGCCAGGGAGGCTGCTCTCGGCTCCTCCCGCGGCTCCGATCGCCCGCCCGGGCTCTCCTCCCTCCCCCACTCGCGCGCCGCCCGCCCTCCTCCCCGCCCTCCTTCTTGCCCGCAACCTGCCCGCCGCGGCAGCCCGGCCCTAGCGCGCCCGGGGACTCAGGTGTAAGGGGACCGCGGGCCCGACTGGGGTAGCGGCTACGGTCGCTGACCCGGAAGAAGCTTGGCTCACCGAGGGAGGGGAGGATGAATGACAAAGACGGCCCCGCTCTTTTCCATTCAATCCTGTTCCAGACGAGCCGGGTCGGAAGAAGCCTGATGGGGGAAGGGGGTCCGTGTGTGAGGGCGGGAGCGGAGGCGAGGCCCGGCTTCGGATTCACCCCTGATGGATTCTGGAAAACTCGCCAGCGTGGGGCGGCGGGCAGGAGGAGGTGGACACAGGCCACGGCTCCCGGTTTTTGCAACAAAGCAGTGCTATTTTGAAAGGAGCAGGGCCTCCTTTCTGTAGATGCAGGCGGTCACGGAGGTGTATGTTGGAGGAAGCACCATCCAGAGCGCGATGCGCCTTTCCCCATGGGGCATAGTGTTCTGGCCGTCTTTATATACTTGCCGAAGTGTGTGTGTGTGTGTGTGTGTGTGTGTGTGTGTAGCTGTGCACAGTGTATCACAGACATAGGAGAAGGAAAACACCTGTTCCTTTCTGTCATTAGGCTGGCCCTGCATGAGGTCCTGGTTTCCCTTTACAGACTAGTTCCGTACCCTTCACTGGCAGATTCCAGTCCTTCATTCATCCTTGAGTTAACCCTGAGTGGCAGCTGTTCACTGGGGATTTGCTGAAGCCAAGAGACAGGATGGGCAAGTCTCACCTGTACCCCCAAGAAACTCCATAGAGTCGCTGCAGCAGGTTAAGATTGAAGAGGAACAGAAAGAAGCTGTGGAGCCCTGCGGGGAGGAGAGGAGAGGGAGGTGGGTGCTGGTGGAACCCAGCAATGAAGAAAGTAGTGTTTGGAGGCTTTGAAGGAAGGGTGACATTTGGGCTGGAGGAAATAACAAATGAACTGAAATCAGGCAGAGGTCCTGATGTTTGTGATGTCAGGTGTGTTTAGGTCATAGATGTTGCCTTTTGTAGCCCCAGTAGAGGGCATGGAAAATGACAGGCTGTGAGTTGAAGCTGGGGTTTGATTTGAGAAGCAACCAGGAAGACTGGCATTTCTTGTGCTCCCACCCCGTCTGTTATGATGCTAAGAAACAAAAATGTTCTAAAGCAGCAGTTGTCCAAGTGTGGTTTCCAGACCTGCAACATCAGCGCATTGGCTGGGAAACTGCTCAAAATGCAAATTCTCAAGTCCTGCCTGGACCTACGAGAGCAGAAACTCTGGGGATTGGTTCCAGCCACCTGCACTTTCACAAATATCTCACTTGGTACACACGTGCTTCTCTCAATCCTTGATACTCAAAGGATGGGACTTGGACTGGTGGTATCAGCATCATTGGGGCCTGGGGACCTGTGGGGCCTGCCCAAACTCACTGACCCACAAGCTTCATTTTAATAGAGGACCAGGTGATTTATATGCCTCCTGGCAGGAGAGTAGGATGGAGTTGGAAAGTATGGAAAAGTACAAATAAGGAAAGTTTCAATCCTCTATTGACACCCAGATGCATTCTTTGTGTTTCCATGTAATTCCTACCAGTTTTTTTTTAAAGTTTGTTTTACTTATTTGAAAGAGAAGGTTACAAAGAGAGAGAGAAGCACACAAAAAGAGAAATCTTCCATCCATTGTTTCACTCCTTAAATGGCCACAACAACTAGGGCCAGAGCCAAGCCTGTGGGATGCCATTGTCACAGGTGGCAGCTTTACCTGCTGCACCACAGTGGCACCCCCTTGATAGGCTGTTACTTTCTATGCTACATCTGCATGTACAGAATGTTCTAATGTAAGTGGTAGGGGACACTATTTGTATATCCAATTTGCTTCCTGTTCTCTCTACTTTCCTCCATTGCATCTGTTTAAACATTCCCTTGAAGCATGTTTATGGCTGTTTGTATTGAATTCCATGCTTATACCATAGTGTGTGTAGCTATTTTTTTCTACCATCAGGCAGATTTTATTATTATTACTGAGGGGAAAAAAATAATGATACCACTTTTGTATAGTGCCTACTTTGTGCCAGGCACTGAATTCATTTAAAAATGAATCTGAGAGACAATGAGGGCTTCCCTCTGTTGATTCACTCCCCAGAGGCTCCAGATCACCTGGATAAGTCAGTCCAGGTCTCCCACGTGAGTGGCAAGAACCCTGGCTGGGCCATCACCAAGGTAGGTCTCCAGGTTCTGCACAGAGAGGAAGCTCTCCAGCTTCCTGACAAGCTGGAACCTGCACCCAGACACTCTGATGTGGGACACAGGCGCCTTAAGTGCAGGGCTACGCTCCCGCCCCAGACCTGCGAGTTAAATCCAAGTAATCTTGGAGCTGGCAAGGTGGCTCTAACCCTCTGCCTGTCGCACCAGCATCCCATGTGGGTGCCGGTTAGAGTCCCAGATGCTCCACTTCTGATGCAGCTAGTGACTCAGGAAGGAAGTGGAGGATGGCCAAGGCCTTGGATTCCTGCATCCATGAGGAAGATCTGGAAGCAGCTTCTGGCTGCCTACTTCAGACTGGCCCTGCTGTGGCCATTTGGGGGAATGAACCAGAGGATGGCAGATGTTTCTCCCTCTCTCCATAAATCTGGTGTGAAATAAAGCAAATCTCTCTTTTTAAAGACTTATTATTATGATGATGATTATTTTTAAATTGGAAAGTCAATTTCAGAGAGAAGGAGAGACTGAAAGATCTTCTACCTGCTGATCATTCCCCAAGTGGCTGCAATGACTGAAGCTGAGTCAGTCTGAAGCCAGCAGCCAAGAGACTCTTCCGGGTTTCTCCTGTGGGCGTAGGGTCCCAAGACTTTGGGCTGTTCTTGACTGCTTTTCCAGGCCACAAGTAGGGAGCTGGAAGGGAAGTGGAGCAGCTTGGATACAAAGCAGTGGCATTATGGGATCCCAGAGCATGCAAGGCAAGGACTTCAGCTATGAGACTACCATGCTTGGGCTCGAAATAAAACAAATCTTTGAAGAAATCCAAGCTATATTTAGAATTTTCCTTTGTATTCTTCTTATACTTGGCTTATTATTATTGTCATTATTTTATTTCATTTAATGACACAGTTTCATAGACTCTGGAATTCCCCCAACCACTCCAAAAAGTCCTCCCCCATACTGAATTCCTCCATATTGTTGCAGTAGTACAGTTCATATCCAGTCATTATTCCTTCATTGCAGGCATGGACCATGCAGAAAGTCCGGCATCTTATTGTCCAGTTATTCCTTACATAAAATTATTATACCAATTTTTAAGAAAGTCTTAAGTTGTGTTGTCAGCTTGGTTCACAGAGAGAAGGTACCAGCTTGTGGTCCCACCAAAGCAACTTGACCTACATCAAGCGTGAATCTTAAAAAATATCTTTTGGGTCTGGCACCATGGCCTAGCGGGGAAAGTCGCTGTGCCAGGATCCCATACGGGTGCTGGTTCTAATCCCGGCAGCCCCGTTTCCCATCCAACTCTCTGCTTGAGGCCTGGGAAAGCAGTCGAGGACAAGCCAAAGCCTCGGGACCCTGCACCTGCATGGGAGAGACCTGGAAGAAGTTCCTGGCTCCTGGCTTCAGATCGGCGAAGGACCAGCCGTTGTGGTCACTTGGGGAGTGAGTCATCAGACAGATCTTCCTCTCTGTATACCTGACTTTGCAATAAAAATAAATAAATCTTAAAAAAAATTTTTCTGATTTGGTAGATATCAAAGTAACTGGGATTTCTTTCATCATGAGGGTAAATATTTCTCGTGTGTGTCGTTGCTGTGGATGGAGCCTGAGGGGCTCTGTGTCGGACACAGTTTCAATGTGTTAAAGTACGATTATGTTTTAAGTAGCTGCCTTAGCTAAGGGCTTTCACACGTCCTGTCTCATTTGAGTTTTGTGTAGGCAGCAGAGAGAATATAGGGATGCTCTGGTCATGGGTGTGTACAGTGTCTTCTGACAACTGAGGCGTCATGCACATGCAGTGGCTAAGAGGCCGAGGACTCAGATAGGCATGGACTGGAATTCTATCTCTGCTACTTTCTAGGCAAGTTATTCAACCTCTGCCAACCTCAACTTTCCCCATTCATGAAATGAGGATAGTTGTTATTTCATAGAGTTGTTGTAAAAGCACAGTGTAACTGCTCAACAGATGGCAGCTTTAATTATTAGTCATTCAATTCTGTCATTATTGGATCCCCATGATAATGTTGTGGCAGAATTCCAGAGCATTCACAAATACGTGCCAGTCCCTGGTTCCCTTCGAAAGAATGTGTCAGGTGGATGGAAGGGAAGTGCATAATCCCACTCAGGTAGCAAAGTTTCAGGGGCTACTTTTGGCCAGAGAGCCAGGCCTAGGGTTTAGGTGACTTTAAATCAGGTCCTTGTAGTCATGACCACTTAAAAGTGAGAAATATTAATGTGCCAAATCGCTTCTTGTTAGTTTCTATTGTGTCCTTCAGTTTTGGGATTGAGGGCAAGGTTGCCAGAAACACGTAGCCCACTTGGCACTAAGCCGTGGATGAGCAAAACTCAACCCAAAAGCATAGCACTAGCTCGGATGGAGGCAAGCAAGGAACAGTGTGGGTGGAGAGATCGAGGGAGAGGAGACTACTCTGTTGCCCATCTGTGTATGATGTCTGGAATGGTGTTTGCTTGTTTGTACTGCACTTCTGTCCGTCGAAGCTACTCTTCCGTAAATGTGTCTGGTTTCTCCTCCCTTCAGATGGAAT